AAAGGAGCTATTTCCTGCAGGACTAATTTATACCAATAATCACAATATCTAAGATGACTGGACTATACAATTTGCAAAATTCTTTCCATCAATTCATTTAATCCTTTTAACTAATCTGTGAGATTAAATGGTAACATTTTCACCCCTCGACAAAACTAAATTTAATGAAACTGAAATCACCAATACTGAAGTACAACTGGACGAAAACTAAATATTCTACAGCCCACTAACAAATTCTATTACAATAGAACAGCAATCCAACAGCAACAGAAAGTTAATATAAAATGTGTCTCTTGTCCCACCCTTATCCTTTAATACCCATTTATTTACAAGTGATCACTTCTGACCTTTCACTTTTTCACAAAACACCTTTATTTAATCACCTAAAATGTTTTAAAAGAAAAATGAAAATAATGTCTCTCCTTTGCACAATTAATTCTGTAGGTAAATTGTACACATTGAAATAAAGTTCCACTGGTGCTGAGTCAATCTTTGATCACACAGACACATTAGCAGGACTTAGGACTCGTAAGAAAATTCCTCATCCACGAAATATAGGAACACATTCAAAGAAAAAAAAAGACAAATACAACAAAAGACAAAACACAGAAGAGGCAGAAAAATTGTACCCCCGCCAAAAAAAAGAATGACAAAGCCACCACTTGAGCAGATGCAAAAGGAGTACCTCCTTAAATATTCACATGGGTATTATGTACTGATTTTTCCAAAAGATCCCAAGGAAAAACCTGTTCCTAAACAGAAAAGATGAAGTACAGAACCACCTTCTCACAGAACCTGGCTTCTCAGTAAGTGTGTATACTCCTCATTTATAAGAGGACTCAGTTCTGCACTAAAGCCTCTCTGTGCTGGAGCCCAATCCAAACTCCATGAAAAACTACAGGTCTATTGCTAGGAACCTTCCATGTTCCCAGATAACAGAATAATCTACAAATAATACACTTAGAGCAGTGCCTCAGAGGAAGGGAACACAGGAACTTGATTAAACTTCTGCATGTTTTTAAATATGTAAAGTAGTCATAATGCTAGCTAAAGTGAGCACTTGAAAGATATGATATTTTTGTCCACATGTTTTCAAGTTCTACAAATTAAGTCAGCTAAGAACATTGCCCACATAACTTCTTTTTAATAGGAAGTGAGGAGAAACACAACTCTAATTTCTTCATAAAAATAAAAATGGCTAAAAAAATGGTTAAATTGTATAATAGGTACATAAACCATACAATAGCATAATGCTATACTATTATACAAAAAGAAACTTTAGCATCCTACAGGGCTAGGATAACAGGCATGTGCTACAACCTAAGCTAAGAAACATTCTTAGGGGCATTTACTTTACCATTAACACTTACCTTCATCTTCTTAAAAATAAAATACTTCAATAAAAAATAAGTTGTCCCCAATAGTAATGGAAAACTTAAAACATATTTTAAAAAAAATCATATGATTTTTCTGAGATATAATGAAACTAATCCCTACTTAAAATAGGTGTTAAGAAAAGATGAAATTAAAAACTAGTAAATTCATAAGGCCACTAAAGAAACTTAGAAATATATGATTATGAAATTTACAGCAACCAAAGAACATCCTGGCTATAACGTATCAGTAAGGAAAACAAAAAGAAAATTCTGGCATTTCTAATACCAATTCATCTTGAAATGTATATTATATTCCAAGGCAATGACAAATTTTTCTTAAACTGTTCTGCACAGACTGCAGCTTTGTCATCTTAAAAGCAATGTGTTTCATGTTAAGATGTACAAAATAAAAATTTACTTACTGCCTTCCTTATTTAATGGGTGAGAAATAGGAGAGATCAAATTATTTCTCACTTAAACATGATTATTTTTTCTTTAGACAGTTTTGATATATCTGTGTACACTCACCTATCAGCATCTTTATCTTCAGGCAGCATAGGAGGCAATGGTAAGGGTGGGAGTGTAGAGGTCACTAAAGTCACATGTTGCTCCTTCTCCTTGGCTCCAATGCTTGGGGTCAGTGGTTTGGTTTTCTCTTTGAGAGATACTGGTTCCTCCTTCGTAGCAGCAGATTTACTCTCTTTTCCAACTACAGCTGTTTTCTTGGTGGCTTTATCTACAATCAAATTATTGTCTACCTTTGTTACCTGAAGAGGTGGCTTTGTTTTTGCCTTGTCATTTTTTAAAGTCACACCACTTGAGGGAGAAGGCGCATGCTCGGTTTTAAGTTTCTTCACATCCTTCACGTGGTTGGTTTGTGATGAACTGGCTCCAGTTTCAGTGTTCCCCTTGGTTGGTGTAGAGGTGTTGGAGGCTTTTGCAGCTTTTGCAGCTGCCTCTGCAGCCTTGGCAGCTTCTGCAGCTTTTGCTGCCTCTGCAGCTCGTGCCGCCTCTGCAGCTCGTGCTTTTTTATTCTTGTTCAACTCGGCAGCCAGGCTACTCTTCAGAGTCAGTGTGCTAGGAGAAATGCTAGAATGACGACTCCGGGATCTAGACAATCTGTGCCTGCTACGAGACCTTGAATGCCTAGATGAGTATGGACTTCTGCTTCGGGATTTGGCAGACCGTCTGGTGAAAAATAATTAAGATTTAGTAATTAGGAAAATTCAATCTAAAATGTACACAGTGCTAACTGGAATCTGTGAAATGAAACATTTACTTTATTTCAAAATCATCCTGTAGTTTTTGGGAGAATTGTTTTAAAAACAGAAAGTGCTTTAAACCAAAATATCATGTGATGGCTACAGTTTTCTTGAAAATTGTTTGAGTCTTATCTTTTTCTGACTACAAATACTCAAAGGTGATGCTAGAGGACAGCACCCCTCAGTATGAAGAAATACTACGAAATTAGGAAATCTGTGATGAAGCATCACTGCTGTCTCTGAAAACACAAACAGGCAGTAAGGAGACAGTGGGGAAGGCAGGAGCACAGCAAAGGTTGACCAGTTCCACAGGGACACAGTTTCTCCAACTCAGCACACCTGTAATTCCAGTGCTGAGGCCAGGGTGAAAAGACAAAACAATAAATTAAGCAATAAATGAAAACAGCCTGAGGATTAATCTCATAAAGACAAGTTTTTAAAAGTTTGCATATGCTGATTAAAATGCAAGCAAAACCACTTCACTCACATACAAAATAATCTTACAATGTGCCTAGCTTCATACAGAAAGTGTAATGAAGTAACAACCATACAACTGTTCTCAAGTTGAGGCTCTACTAGCAGTCTTTTCATAAAAAATAGCAAGAAAGTTATATACACACATATATGTATATGTATAAATTTTAAGGGCAACCCACTCTATGGGTGTCCCCTCGTGTTCCTCTCAGGCAGGAGCTCTTTCCCTTAATAAATTTTCCCTACTTGTTAAAAAAAAAATGAAATCTTCAAAGTGCTTGACAACTATGAATTATTTTATCATAGGAGAATATAAAAATCACTAAGTACTATTACTCCAATTTTTCAGAAGGCAAAAGCACACAGAGGTAAGGCAAATGAAGCTCCCATAAAACGGTAAACACAAACAAAAGTACAGTTCAAACTAAAACATAGGGTTTCAGGGTTCTGGCTCTGTTAAAAAAAAATCACAAAAACCTAAAACTCAGAACTACTTCATCATGATGGTACAAATTCACTTTTTAAAACTTGTTTCAAAAACTGGTCATTGTGGTGCATGCCTGCAATCTCAGCACTCTGGGAGGCTAAGGCAGAGGATCACAAGTTCAAGTCCAGCCTGGGCAACTTAACAATTTAGTGAGACTCTCAAAAAAATTTATCAATCAGTCAATTTATTAATTACAACTAATTCGAAAAAAGGCTGGAGATACAGATCAGTTCAAAGTCCCTGAGTTCAAAAAACAAAATGATGCTGGGCATGGTGGTGCATACCCATAATTCCAGCTCTCAGGAGGCTGAGTAGTAGCAGGGTCTCTGCCAGTTCAAAGCACCCTGGACTACATAGCCAGACCCTATCTCAAAAAACAACACAACAAGAAAATAAAAATAGAAACAACCACCAAAAAAATCATTACCTTCAGGACAAACTCAAATGCAAATTCAACTTCCTCATTTTTTCAAAAACAACTATGTGTGGAGCCAATTAGTGTCAACAATAAGTCAGTATTTCATACACATCCCATACTTTATATTTTTTAAAAATATCATTAGACTAACAGAAATACTAGTTTAGAAAATACTCTAATTCTAACTTAACTCTTATCATTAAATATTCATATATACCAATCATTAAAATCACCAATCAGATTACAATTTTATTCATGGAAATGAAAGGAAATGTTTGGTTAAACATGAAATAATAAGTTGATTGTAAAAATAACTTGGACAACTTTAATATAGGAAATAAAAGTGTTATAATATGAAACACGTGGCCACATGGGGGGGAGAGAAACCAGGGATTGAACTTCAGACCTTACTCTTTCTTGTGAGGCAGGCAGTGGAACCACTGAGCTAAATTCCCAGCCCGCAACACATTTTTAATTTCCTCCACCTTCACACTGTGTGGAGCTTAAAACAAGTCTGATCTGAGTCACATTTCTCTCCCTGATCAGATACTGATGAGCAGCAGGAAAAAGTAGAGAGACTGTCATCTCACCCAAGTAACAGCACAGTGCCTTGAAGACGCTTTTCTCCATTGAACTTTCCTACCCTGGCAAGACTCTGGTTATCAGTTTCACACAGCCACACAAATTATATTTAACAGAGAACTGTGATGACTAAATTTTCCCAAGCAAAGAGATGCAAAGACAGTAGGAAAACATCTACTTCCACTTGGTTATTAAAGTATCCCAGGCAGAATCTGAGTAAGAGAGCTATCAGTAAAGACTTAGAAGAGTTTTATTCTGTAAAAAAAGGATATTTCAGAAATGCCGTTTTTATGATATTTGACTGCTATCCCTAATACATTCTTCTATATTCATCCTCCACTCCTCTCCAATTCCTCTATTTCTTTAACCTATTTAGTTCATGTCTAATATGCCTTCATATGCCTTCATTCTCTTAGACATTGCAATTTGCTAGTAAATTCCAACAATATATTTACTACTTATAACAAACATGATATGGGAACCTAAAATTAAGTTTTAAAAAACCTCAAAATTAGGACATTTTTAATGATTTAATGCTTCAGCCATACAAAGTTACAAAGGTGAGAGAAGTACATCTCTAAAACTACACAACAAATTATACTATGACAATACTTTAATAAAAGAAGTGTGATAAGGGTAGGTACCAAATCCAATTGCCTTAAGATAAGATTCTTTTTAAATCCCAGCCCTTGGGAGACTGAGACAGAAGGATCAGTTTGAGTTCCAGACCAAGCTGAAAAACCTAGTGAGACTGTGTCTCAAAAAAGTTTTTCTAATATTTCTAATATTTCTAATATTAAATCCAGTGAACACATATTAGCTGTTTCTTACTTATCTTCTATTTTTTTAAGAAATTATAGGACCCCTAAAATTATGAGACTTTCCTATGCTTCTAAGAGGTTTCCTAAATGCACACAACTCAAAAGTACAATCACAGTTAAAACTCAACTGCCAGTGCTCACTGTTAATTAGGCCAGTCTGTGTTGGAGAGAGGGCACAGTGTACTGTTCACTCAAGTGTACCTCACAATCTCAAGAGTCCAGGTCTTCTAGAAACTACAACTGATTAGCAAACACAAGCTCTGGCAGAGGCTATCCTTCTAAAACCTTGGCTTCTGTCAGGTACCCACTGCTCCAGAGCACTCACCAGGCTCCAAGAGCATTCTATTTGTCTCACCTCTTTATAGAGTTCCCTGTAACTTGTGAAAAAACATCCCCATGAGTTCCCATAATCCTCCCACCTTTGTAGCCCCTTCATTAAAGTCTCTTGAACCATCTAAATTGTATTCCATTTCCTTCTAGAACCCTGATTTACCTGTATACCAGATCTTAATCCCAAAATTGTTAGGTCCTAAATCCAAATTTTTAGTTTCCTATAATAAAATCCAATCCCTTGCTATATAAAATAATAAAGAACATCATCATCCAATAGGATTTTCCATGTTGGTAGAAGTATTCTACACTCATGGCCAATATGGTAGATACTATTCTCAACACTGGTTCGCCTCATTTTTCTACCCAGCTTATACAACATTCCAACAGCAGTTGTGTCCATTTAAAAATTATTGTTAATCCCCTTTAAAAGATATGAAAATGTTTACCAAACTAAAAAAACTACAAAACATGAGGTGGTGCTTTTTCAAAACCCTGTTTTTCTCAAGCATCTCTGTCACTACCTTTGTACATAAAACTGATTATAACAGCCCTATTAACTGCACTGTTTAGCCCCATAAATGCAACTCTTTGTTTTAAACCTTATCTAATCCATGCTTCTGTAACCAAATACTACTCCCTCCAGATATGGTGACTAACACAGTACTGTGGGAGGCTGAAGCAGAGAAATTTCAAGTTCAAGCCCAGCCTGGGTAACAGTGAATCAGAGATCCTGTCTCAAAATTTAAAAATAAATAAAAAGGGCTAGGGATATTAGCTCAGTGTGAAAGCCCTAGGTTCAATCTTCAGCAATCAATCAATCAATACTGTCACCATCATGGTCAACAGGGTCTATAATTGAAACATGAAAAGTGGATAAATTTTCCTCTAACAGCCTTGCCAATCTCTCTTTTTTTATGGTACCAGGGATTGAACTTGGGTCCTTGTGCTTGCAAGGCAGGCCACCGAACCGCTTAGCTAAATCCCCGGGCCCTCTATTTTTAATTTCACTGTTCTCCAGCCATTTACCCAGGCTAGAAATCATCCCTTTCCTGATGCCTGTCTCATTTTGATTCTAAGTCTACATTCGCATACAGCCACACCCTTTGAGTATTTCCTACTGCCGTAAAGTGTGTTACAGTTCTACAGTTAGAAGTCCAAAATCAGTCTCAGCGAGCTAAAAAAAAATACATGTCACTTGTCTTTTCCATTTTCAGCTGGATGTCCACATCCACTGGCTTGGGGAGCCACATTACCAGTCCTCTGCTTCCATCATGACACTTCTATGACCACTTGGTGTTCAATGACTCAACCCTGCATTGTCCTTTCTACGAAGATCTTTGTGATCACATAGGACCTCCTGGATAATTTAGGATAATCTCCCCATCTCAAAACCTTTCATGTAAATCACATGTATAAAATTCCTTTCACTATTTTAAGTATCAATTGCACAGGTTCCATGGAGTATATATAACATGGGCAGCTTTGGGGAACCATTATTTAGCCTCTTCCATTCTCAAGGCTATTGTCCCATTTCACCTCACCATCTCTCCCTTAGGCTACATTGCCTTTAAAAACTGATCCCCACTGTCCAGGGATCATTACGTGTCCCAGATTTGTTCATCCAACTTTTTTCAAGCTCACAACCCCATTTCCAAGACCACAGGAATGACTCTTTGATGCAAACTCTACTTCCATCTGCTTTACCCTCCACTTCACCTTAGAGAGGTGTTCCCCCATCTCTCTAAAGGTACATCTCCATAATTCTGATCCCATTCTCTCTAGAACCTCACTGCACACACTATTGTCCACAG